CAGGAAGTAGGGGCCTGGCTCAGTGTGTGAGGCCTGTGTGTTCTTGGGCACCAGCACTTCTTCCCTGGGGTGGAGCTCTCCAGCGGGGCTCCCTGCACAGTGACACAGCCGGTCCCAGTAGGGGGGAGTGAGCAGGTCCTCACTGAGCAGCAGCCCTGAGGCTCCCCAGGTCTGGGTTGCTCAGGAGCAGGGAGTGGGCTGGCCATTTCCCAGGGCTGGTCTGTCCAGGAAGTAGAGGGGAGGCAGCCCTTGTGCTCTTCAGCACCCTTTCCCCATTCCTGGCCCTGTGGCTACAGCCTCTGGGCCCTGGCCAGGACAGCCCAGGCCTTCACTTCCCGGCCATGTGATGCTTCTGTTCTTTTAGCAGAATGCGCTTTTGTGGGTCCAGTCATCTGGACTTGGTGGCCAGCACCCTGTCCTCCACATGTGTCCTGCAATTCCAGGCAAAAGGGGCAGATGCAGAAGCGAAATGAGGGAAAGGAGGTGGACGAGCGACAGCTGTTCCATGGCACTGCCACCAGCTTTGTGGATGCCATCTGCCAGCAGAACTTTGACTGGCGCATCTGTGGTCTTCATGGCACCTCCTATGGCAAAGGTAAGGTGACTTGGCCCCAGGCCCTGCCACACTGGCCCTCGGGAGCACCTGTTCTCTGGGGGGCTGCCCTTGGCAAGACCCTGATGTTGCTCCTCTGTGTGTAGCCGGGAGCTCAGCCCAGGCATGGTAGCCCTGGGGATTGAGGCCCAGGGAGGTGGGCCTGAGTTGGAAGAGGAGAGGGGCTTAGACCCAATGAGGTCCCCAGACTGCACCTTCACAGTCTTCTTAAAATAGAGACCTGAGCATCTTAAATGCACTCATGTAGATGTCATTCTAGCTGTTATATGAGTCATCTGTTTTCCTCTCAGTTACTTTAAGCTTTCTTTGGTAATAATTTCAAACACATAGGAGTATTGCAAAAATAATTGTATGTAAATGCATGCATTTTATCTCCTCTTGTCAGCTTACCATTGTACCGTGCTGTCGTGATCATCTCTTCTCTGTATTTTTTTGTGAGGCTTTGCCAGGTGGTGGCATACGTGGTGTCCCTTCATCTTGTAACACTTCCTCTCTAGCCAGTGTGGCCACCACAGGTAGAGACGTCATCACCTGCTGTTCGTATCGCGGTTGATGGTCCATCAGGTGGCTCCTGTCTGATGGTGACAGTTGTGGGGTCAGGAGGGACAAGAGCTGGAGGGGTTTGTGACTGCCAGCACACAGTGGCAGCTTCCAGCTCCGATCCCCTCATGAGGTTTCAGAGTTCTGCACACTGGGCTGCTGGTGCCACAGAATGGCCATGAGCAGACTCCAGTTCACTGTCCACACTGACCCTCTGAGCTTGGCCGAGTGGCTCCATGTCACATCTGAGGAAACAGACTCAGGTTAAGAAGCAGAGGTTCCTGGTGGATTCAGCACTGAGGGACCTCATTTCTGGTGGGGACTCCTCTGCTGCCACACAGAAGGGTATTGGCAATCCTGACTCTCATCTGTGGGGAGGCAGAGTGACAGAGCAGAGGCTGATGATCACCTGTTGCCATGCCCCTGCCAGCAGCAGTGTCCGCCTGGCCTGTCTGGCTGCTGGCTTGTCCTCCCGGTGCCCAGCAAAGCCTGTGTGTGTTGTTTCAGGGAGCTACTTCGCCCGTGATGCCGCATATTCCCACCACTACAGCAAGTCCGACACCCACATCCAGATGATGTTCCTGGCCCGGGTGCTGGTGGGTGACTTTGTCAGGGGTAACCCATCCTTGGTCCGCCCCCCTGCCAAGGACGGGCAGAGCAACACCTTCTACGACAGCTGCGTGAACAGTGTGTCTGACCCAAGCATCTTCGTGGTCTTCGAGAAGCACCAGGCCTACCCTGAGTACCTCATCCAGTACTCCACCTCCCCTAAGCCACCGGCTGGAGCTGTCAGCACTGCTGCCGCTGCCACTGGGAGCTCCATGCTGGTGGCGGCGCTGGGTTCCCTCTTTAGTGGCCGGCACTGAGCACAGCCAGGAACAGGAAGCTGTGTGGGATGATTTTTTTTTTTTAACAAAACTTTTAATGAACTGCTTAATGTTGGCTTCTCAGTGAAGTTACGTTCTTAATCCTTTGCTAGTAACACTTTCTGCTTTTAGGTAACTTTGGGGCTCACTTGTGGACTCGCTGTACTGATTGTTGGTGAGCCCGGCTTGGTTTTTAATGACATGTTAATGCTGTGCTTTTCACTCTGTTAGCTTTGCTGCTTGTCACACCAGCAGTTGCGAGACACTGTTTTATGGATTCTTCATTTTAATGGTTAAGAGTCTCTGTGTCTGCAGTGACTCCCATGCTCAGGGTCTTGTGCCCTTTGTCAGCGTGGCACAATGGCTGCACGGGGAGGCGAGTCCAGCTCTGTGGCTGCTCTGGGCTCTGGCATTGGCTGACTTGTGTCACATTGTCAGAGCAAGTGGCTGCTGTTTGGTGCCATGAAGTCCTTGCCAGTTTTCCCTAGTGCTGGGGGGGGGCCAGCAGTCCTGTAGAGGAAGCAAGGCCACCCTGGCAGGAGACGTGGATGAGTCCCCTGGGAACCCAGCCTCGTGTCCCTGAGCACACTGGACGCTTCTGTGTCCTCATGAGATTGAGTTTCTGTGCTGCAAATGTCACATGCGAGTAGGAAATAAAAATATTTATCCAAAGTGGGGACCACTGCAGCTATTCTTCAGTGTCTGTGGCTTGAGTGCTGCTGGTGACTGGGCACTACTCTGGGTGTCAGAGTTGACTGCTCTTGGACTGCTATACACACAGTGCCATCTGTGGAGTGGCTTGGAAACAACAAGTGTCTGCTGCTCACAGTTGTGGTGCTGGAAGCTGAGGTCGCAGTACCTGCAGACTGAATGTCTGGCGAGCGCACCTCCTCACAGGGGGCCCTATTCACTGCAGCCTCGGGTGGCACAGATCCCGTTCACGAGGCCTTGCCCTCACAACCTGGTCACCTCCTGAGGTCTCGTGTCCCGGTACTGTTGCCTCAGAGGGGAGGATCTAGCCTGAGATGCTGGAGTAGAAACACTCAGACCATAGCAGGAATGGTGTCCCTGGCTTCAGTGGGGGCTTTTTGCGGATTGCAGGTTGGGCCCCTTGCTTGTGGGTCCTTTTTTGTGGGGGGTCGGGGGCTGGACAGAGTCTTGGTATGCAATTCAGACTGGCCTTGAACTCGAGATGATCCTCCTGCCTCAGTCTCCTGAGTGTTGGGATTACTGGTATACACTACCATGGCCGACTTTGTGAATAACCCTTTTAAGGCCTTAGTAGGAGGCTTGGCAGTATTGTCATGTGGTTGTATGTTTTACTCAAGTTTGCAAGTTATATATTTGCTTTCTCTTTTCCTCAGCTCACAGTTTCAGCCCCACTGAGCTGAGTCACCTGTAAACAGTGTGTCACAGGCAGTGTCAGGCATCTCCTTCCTGGGCGCTGGCTGGTTCTGACACAGAGGAGCTGACACCCAGTAAGATGCACCCACTTGGTGCTCTGTGTCCATTGTGTCCTGTGTGTTCGGATCCAAGGCTCTCTAGTCTTCCATCTTCAGAGCAGTTGGAAACCTTGCACAGGGCAGTGTGATTGATCAGGCCAGAGTGGAGCCAGGCTAGATGAGCAAGCAGGGGCAGATACACAGAAGGCGTGGTTTTCAGTGTGCCCCACGCTCCCTCAGTCTGCCTAGCCCTCCAAGTCCATTCATTGATTTTTGGTCATCTTTGGCCTGCTGCTGTGTGTGTGTGTTTGTGTGTGTGTGTGTGTGTGTGAATGTATGGTGGCCACCTGGGCGTGGAAAGGGCAGCCAGGTGGAGATGCTGGGCTGGGGGTGGAGCAGTCACCTGAGGGCTGTGGTGGCTGTGCTCCCGGCAGGGAGTGAGGTGCTGGGCTGGGCCTTTCTTTTTTTTTTTTTTCCTGGTACCGGGTATTGAACTCATGACCTCACGCTTGTGAGGCAGGCACAGTGCCACTGAGCTAAATTCCCAGCCTGTGGGCTGGGCCTTTCTGCAGGCTGAGGTGGTGTGGAGTCTGTAGGCTGGTCAGGGGCTGGGGTCCAGGCAAGGTTCAGATGTACAGTTTCCCTGGAGAGTCTGGTTGGGGAGCACAGACTGTGGCAGTGAGGTTGTGAAGAGGGCTGTGTAATGGTGCCTGGCCCTCAGCGCAGGCAGCTGTGGCTCACAGGGCTGGGACAGCATGGGTACGAGCAGGAGCCCCTCCAGGGGAAATTTGGGGGTGCGTGGGTGCTCTGGGCTGTGGTCTCAGGAAAGACCACATGCGGAAGTCTGCAGCTCTCCTGAATTGTCTAAAGGTGTCACCTGGAGACACCTGGATGCCACATGAAGATGGATCCTGCTAGGGTTGGCAGCAGGGCACTCAGCCCTGTCTACTCTGATATCAAATAGAAGAGGATGGCATCTTTTTGCTAGGTCAGCTTCCCTGTTTTACAACTGAGGAAACTGAGGTGCAAGGAGGTGAAAAGACCAGCAGCTGCCAGGGGGAAGATGTGGGATCCAACTGGCAAATGCTTTGGTGAATATGACCTTCCCACAATATGATCATTACTTTTCCTAACTCACTTGGGTAATTTGATTACTTGATCAAAATTAAGAGACCTCTTTAGAAGAAAGACCACATGAAACTTACTAGAAGGTCATAGTGCCCAGCCTGGGAGGACCAGAGCATAAAGCTTGCAGCCACCTTCTAGGCCATGTCTGGTTAGCACCATTCTCTGAAAGCCCCACGCTGTGCCCTCAGGACAGAGTCACCTGAGGGTCCCCTGCACTGTATAATCCTTCCATCCTGAGGCCAGGGCTTCCTTTTTTATTTTAGTGCCAGGGATCGAACTTGGGACCTTGCATTTTTGAGGCAGGCGGTGGAACCACTGAGCTGAATCCCTGGCCCCAGGGCTTCCTTTTAAGAATCATGTTGATGATCATTTTGTCAAAACTGCATTTTTGCCTATTTATCCAGTCTAAGATTAATAGCAATGTCACTGCAGTGAATGTTTATTAAGCATTTAGGGATCATATCAGTGACCTTTATTCTGCATGCACTCCAGGCACCCTCTCCTCACTCGCATTGCTAGATGAGGGTACCCTGGAAGCAGACTTCTCTTCCCCAGCTGCCGTCTTCGTCATCGAGGTACAAGCTTGATGTAGACACCATTTTTGGGACCTAAAGCAGATGTGGATTCTAGCTGCAGAGGTACCTAAAATAGAGGAAACTAAAATAGTCAAAATCAACCATATCCACAGGAAGGTTTTCTCAGAGCCAGGCCTGAGGCAAGGTTTGTGAAATCTGTGGGTTGAGGAGACCCCGGGGGGACACAGCTCCTTGAGAAGCCAGCAGAGCTGCCTCTCAGGACAGGCATGGGGATGCAGCCACGCATGGTTAATAAGGTTAGCACCATTTGCCCAGGTGAATCATACCAGAGGTGAGTGCATCCGGGCTGAGTTTGTTTATTCACTTTTGCACTCAAAGCCAGGAGGCTCAGGAAAGCCACACAGCCGGAGCACAGAGAGTAAAGTTCTCTGCCACTCTGTCACCCTGCTGTCCCCGGCCTCTCACTGTCCCTCTTGGGGAGAGTGACCCCCGGCCATGCTCTGCTGACACTGTGCTCTGGCCTCCCCTGGCCAACCTCAAAGGTAGAGGCCATAATGGCCTGGGAACTTTGAAGACAAGCCAGAGAATTAAGAGTGCGTGTTAAGTGGCGATGTGGTGGCTGATGTGGAGCACCAGCTGGGGTGCAGGGCCAGGGCCTGGCCAGGCATTTTCAGAGGCCTTTGTGGGTTACGTCAGACTGGTAACAAGTTGTATGTCAAGAAACCAGAGGGCCTGCTTCTAGCCAGGGAGGGCCTGAGGCTTTGACTGGATTTGGTTATAATTAAATGTAAATAGCCACACAGGCTAGAGGCACAGCACACGTCTAGGTGAGTTGAAGCCGAAGGAGAGGGGCGTGGGGATGGTGAAATCGGGGAGGGCTTCCTGGAGGAGCTGGCCTAGGTGGGGAAGGGGATGGATGAAGCTGTGTGAGTGGGACCATTTGGAGGCTGGGGCTATGGAGGGGCAGGGGGTGCGAAAGATGACTTTGGAGCAAGAGGGAAAAACCCTGTGGGAGTGGGAGGTGAGGTGGGGAATGCACAGGCTCAGGCGCCATCTTGAGTTCAGTAGTTCTGGGGTCCAGGTGACTGGGGACTCATGGCTGGTTCTTGAGCTGGGGAGGGCCAGGTGTAAGCAGTGTTGGGGATGTTGGTCTGGATGTTTGGGTCTGACGCCCCCCGAGGAAGTACTTTCCCTGCCCATCCTTCCCCTTTCGGTCTTTCTGCTCCTCATCCCAGCCCATCACACCTGGTGGATGTCTTCCCTTCTGGTTCCTCTCACCCCCAATCCATGCTTCCTCCAGGACCAGCAGCCTGGCCCAGTTCCTCTGTTTGTCACAGGCACTGCCAGTCTCTGAATCTAGAACCATCTCTGTGTCACTGGGTCCCTTTCTGTCCCCACACATCTCCTGTGCAGGTGTGCAGCTGTGCAGGGCTCCTGATGGCAGGAGCGGATCACCCTAGGGGTGTGGGGAGAGATGGCCAGGCCTTGCAGGGAGCAGTTTCTGGGCATGAGCAGGATTGGGTTTGAACCCTGGCTTTACTTGTTGGCTCCCCATCTGTTCCTTGGCAAGTGTTGAATGAATGCATGAGCACCTGCAATGGGCCTGGTGTCAGGCTGTGTGTGGAGGACCCATCAGGGTTGTCTCCTGTGTGTCCCTGGCCTACAGTTCGACTGTGTGACCTCAGGCACATGGACTTTCCCTCTCTGAGCTCCTACCCTCTGAAGATGGGAATAATAGAACCTACCTCTGGGCCTAAGCGTGTGATGTGAGGGGGGTCAGGACCCAGAAATGGAGGTGTGTCTCAGCAGGGCCCAGATGTCTGGGTGAGGGAGGGTCTGTGGCCTCTCCGGGACCTCAGGAATGAAGGTGTGGCACAGCGTATGACAGTGACCACAGAAGAGGGGGAAGGCAAGGCTGTGGCAGCTGGGAGCACCCTCTAAGGAGCTGGAGCCCCCTCCTCTCCAGCAGGAGACCTGAGGGGACCAGGAGGAACTGAGGCGGTGTCCCCAGCTCCTGCAGGACAAGCCACGCACCTCAAACCCTGCAAAGCAGCGTGTGCTTCTGAAGACATGAGGCCGGCCCTGGAGCACAGGGAGCAGTCATCATGGCTCACCGCCCATCAGTACAGACACTCATGACCGTAGGAGGTGGAGGGTGTTACATCATCCGAATTCACAAATGGAGAAACCAAGGCCCCAGGAGGTTAAGGAGCTGGCCCCAGCCCTGGCCTCCATGCAGAGTCTGAGACCCCTCCAGAAACAGGGGTGACCCCTACCCCAGAGCCTCTGCCCTCACCTGAGTCTCGGGGCAGACGTCGAAGCGGAACTTGCTCAGGATGCGGAGCAGTGTCAGTTTGACCTCCAGCAGCCCCAGCCGCACCCCCAGGCAGCTCCGGGGCCCGGCCCCGAAGGGTAGGTAGGTGAAGGGCTGCCGCTGCCGCTGTGCATCAGCTGTGAACCTGGAGGTCCAGATGAAGGTCAGGGTTGGCCTGGAGGCCCTTCCATCCAAGGTTCCCCCATTCTGGCTGAGTCACCCTTTGCCTGAGACCTGTTGGTCCCAGTAGGGAGTAAAACCTGCTGCAGTCACAGAGCCCTGTTTCCTGCAGGGTGGCCCCCAGATCTTTGGGAGCTGGTGTCCCCAGAGCTGTGGTCACACTCTGTCTCCCGTGCTGCACAACCTGAAGGCCACTGCTCAATCTACAGGGTCCCCTGGATGTCAGCGGTGCCCTCTCACCTTAGAACTTCAGTGTCCTCAGAGCCCAAAGTCTGAGCCTTAGTGAAACCCAGGAGGCGGCCCAAACCCCTGGGCTTGAGAAGCACAGCCTAGACCTGACCCTCGGCCACACCGTCCCCATCAGCATCACCCACCGCCTTCCTCCATGGCCACCCCTCCTCGGAGCCCTCCTCCAGTGTCTGTGCCTGTCTCCACCCATGCTGGCAAAGTCCTAGATAGAAGCTTGAACTCGGGCATGCTGGAGCCCCTTCCTTGTCCTTGCAAAATCTATTGCCTGACAGCAGCTCTCACCATGCATGCTCTGTGACAGTGGCACTAGGCGACAACTTCTTAGCACCCCTGGACTTCAGTGTATTGTTGGGAGCCCTGCAGCAACTGCTTCTGGCCCTTGGGTTTTATTTCCAGGAGCTGCTGAGCAGTGGGAAATGTCTTTATCTGAGCCCCAGTGCCCATGGGAACCCAGTGAGTTGGGCTGGGTTCAGGTGCAACCATTAAAGGTGGGGACAAAGCTGCCTGGCCAGATCACAAAGGAGGGGTCAACCCTGACTAGGAGCCAGGGTGGAGACATTCTAGATCACAGAGGCTAGAAATGAATTAGTGGATCAAATCCACACCAGGTCTTCAGGGTCTCAGGAATTTAGGCTTGTGGGGAAATTTTGCTTTTAATGATCAACTAACTCTATTGAAATGCCTATTTGTTGCTTTCCAGTACACACTCAAAATACAGTCCAGCATCCTATGTTCTGGATTGAGTGAATGTCTTCTGACATTGTTTTTTGTGTGCATTGCTGCTGAAAATCTGTAGGTTCAATCCTGGGGTTAAAAAATTGGTACAGTTTCTTCTGTCAGAGCGATGCTCTGGGAACATCCATCTGAGTTGCCCCTGACCTCTGCCTGCTGGGGCTGCTTGTGCCTCCACAGCAAGGTCCGGTCCCATAGCTCACATCCTTTGGGTCCCACTGAATGGGCAGTGCTCACCTTTCAGGGTCAAAGGTCTCAGGACACGGCCAGAGCTCAGGGTCATGGTGCAGGGCGCCCACGGCCACCTCCAGCACAGCGCCGGCGGGGATGCGCTGCCCCAGCACCTCGCAGTCCCGTGCTGCCTCCCGTGTGAACCTGTGGGGACAGACAGTGGCCGGGTGTGGATAGGTGGGGGCTGCAGGGGACCGTGGACCCAAGGTGGGGCATGGAATGAGGCAGGGACAGGAGGGCCAGCTTCTTCCCAGGGCACCCCAGATGGTGACCAAGTGCTCACCCCATGAACCTCTACTGCCCTGCAGCCTCCATCCAGTCTGGGTCTCCTACATGCCTTTGTCCACCGTCTTGTGCCCGGCATCCAGGCACACACGAGCCTCCGAGTGCTGATTTCCACTGGGGTTGGGGCTTCTCCCTGCTGCTCCTTGTCTACCCACCCACCCTCTGCCCACTCTCCCCCAACTTCACTGTCCAGTCCCGCACAGCGCTTCTGTCCCCTCCCTGCCGTGGACAGTGCTCATGCCAGGCCACCAAGAACACCCGAGGGCCTATCCAATGGTCAGTCTTCAGTGTTTGTCTTGCTTGGTCCTTTTGTGCTACCTGTCTTTTTTTTGCTTTGGGCTGTTTTTTATTTAGTTTTTTCCTTTGGAAATAATTTTGAACTTTTAGATAAACTGAAGAGTAAGAATAGGATTACCTGTATATTACTTATTCAACTTTACCTACTGTTAAGGTTTTCTCTTTTGTTCTCTCCCTCTCCCTCTCTCTCTCTCTCTCTCTCTCTCTCTGGTTTGTTCCATTCTTTTGTTTGTTCTCTCTTGCCCTCTCCCTCTCTCCCTCTCTCCCTCTCTCGTACTCACACAGAGTCTTTTTCCTTGATTTTTTTTTTCTGGTACCAGGAAGCAAACTCAGAGGCTCTGCACCTGCTAGGGAAACCCTCTATCTCTGAGTTATAACCCCAGCCCTTTTTATTTTTTGAGACAGGGTCTTGCCGAGTGACCCAGGCTGGTCTTGAACTTTCAATCCTCCTTCCTCAGCCTTCTGAGTAGCTGGGATTACATTTGCTCCCTACCACCCTGGGTGCTTTCCTTGATTGTTAGTGACATTATTTGCTTGGTTTTCCTCCTGTGTCTGAGGCTCCCTCCTTCCCTTCCCTGCCAGGCTCCTCTGCACCTGCCCCCATTCGCGTTCCACAGAGATGTTCCCACACTCCTGGCTTCCACTCCCACCTGATCCTACCCCAGCCCCTGGCTCCTCTTTCCAGCCACAGGTCACCTCTCCCCAGGGACTCTCCAGCAGGACCGGAAGTGCCCCTCGTCCACCCTCTTCTCCACTGTTCTCTGAACCCTGGCTCTTCCCTCTACACTTTTACCTCTGGCTTCCTCAGTGGGCCATCTCGCCAGTTTCCCTACCACCTCTTTGATTTAGATTCTCATTTCCTCTTTTCCAACCCCGTCTCCTCACATGGACCTGAGTGGTCTCTCTGGCACACCTGACTCATTAGGATGAGGCTCAGGAGTCCCACATGCCTAGGGCTATGTGGCTCTAGCAGGGACAAAGGTGGAGTTTGTGGCTGGAGAAGCCTGTCGTTGAGTCACGTGCAGTGGCTGATGTGACAAGAAGCCATACATAGGAGACAAAGTGGAGATCAGAAACCAGGCAGCCTGGGAGTGATTTGGGATCATGGTGAGAGGTAGTTCAGGACCAGTGTATGACTTGGATCTAGACGTCCCCCAAAGCCTCATGTGCTCATAGGTGGGGCTTTTTGGAGCTGGCTGGATCTAGAGCCTGTGGTACTGGGATTAAGGGTGTGTGGTACTAAATTAGTCCACCATGCAGTTAGCATGGTTCCAGGTATGGCTGAGTGGATTAACTGAGGACAGAAGCCCCACCCTGGTGTGGGTGGCACCACTCAAAAGATTTTGAGGCTGTTTAGGGTAAAAGGGAAAGACAGGCTGCTGCTGCTGCTTCTGCTCCACGCTGCTCCCTACCGGCCTTTCCCTGGACTGTGTCTTCTCTGCAGTGCCCCTGTGCCATGTTGCCTGCCTTGGAGCCAGGGGACTATGGACTGACACCTCTACAAATTGTGAGCTAAATAAACCTTTCCCCTTTTGACTTCTGGGTGTCGAGTATTTTGTCCCAGCAATGATGAAAGTGAGACAACCAGTGATGGGGTATTTTTGTTTTCAGCACTGGGGAGTGGTCCCAGGACCTTTGCACTCAGCTACATGTCTAGCCTTTTAAGATTAAATTAAATTAAATTTTATTTTGAGACAGGCTCTTGCTATATTGCCCAGGCTGGGCTTGAACTTGAAATCCTCCTGCCTCGGCCTCCCAGAGTGCTAGGATTATAGGCATGTGTCACCACATCCAGCCAGTGTTTAGATTAAGGCCGGGAGCAGGTTGGCCATGTTGGGGGCCACTCATGCATGATGCTAAGCTACATCAGTGGCTGGTGAGATCACAGCCAGCTGACGACTTCTAAGCTCCTTCCGGTTCCCAAGCCTGGGCCTCCTCTGTGGCCTGTCCGTGATGGCCCATTTGGGCTCCGTTCCTCAAGAACATGGGGGCCAACTCTGTTTCTGTAACTTGAAGGCACCACACAGTTCCCAAATCTTCCCTTGCTGGCTGCGGACCAGAGCTGGCCCTAAGGGCCAGGTGCAGTTCTATAGTTGCCCCACCCAAGTGACTTCAGGCCGTCTCCAGAAAATTTGTGCACAGGAGGCTAAGGCAATAATCCAAGAAATAATTCCATTGTTTGTTCTAGAAAATTAAAGCAAACTAATTTATCTAGGTAAACAGTTCTCTTCTCAGGACAACAGCCAGCTCTCCTGAGGTGAGATAGACGAGTTCAACCTTCATGACCACCATTGCGACCCTGGTCTACCTGATCCTGCCAGTACCTGACCTGTGTGGTGAGACTCTGCCCACTTGCATCACTTCCTTCCAGGACTCTGGGAACTGAATCCACACCTACAGTGTACTTGCCTGGCCCCCTTCTGAGTCCCTGTTCCACACACCCTTCAGACCTAGGGTCAACCTTCTAGAAACAACACTGGGAGACAAAAATGGAGGCCTTTGGATTTTTGATGCTGAGCACAAGGTCCCAAGGGTGCTGTTCATAGTCTGTTAGGAATTTTAAGGTTGAAGTGAACCCGGCTAGGATAAGGGCAGAGGAATGGCCCCAGCTTGTCTGTCACAGGCCCTCATTCCCTCACCCTCCTCCCAGCCACTTCTGGGACTGTGGTGGTCTATGGCTGCTTCTTTCCCAAGTCCACACCCGCTGCCTCAGAAAGGAAACAGCCCACCTCCTCACCCACCTCATCTTAGGAAATACTTCTTTTTTGGGGGGGGGCATGGATGGGGACTTGGGAATTAAATCCAGAGTTTTCACATTAAGCTATAGCCCCTGCCCTTTTTCATTCTGATACAGGATCACACTGAGTACTGAATTACCCAGGCTGGGCTTGACGTTGCAGTCCTCCTGCCCAGCCTCCCAGAGTGCTGGGATTACAGGCATGTGCCACCATGTCCGGCTTGTTTTATTTTTAAAAAGTAGATTACATAGGTTTGCATGTGAACATAGCATTTCCAAAAGAATACTTAGTGCTTGCCTCTACCATCTTCTCCTTCTGGCTATGAAACCAAGACAGTGAGCTGGGGGGCCTTTTCCTTTGGCTCCTTCTGTGTTATTTAGGGTTTGTTTTGGTTTTTTAAATATCGGTGTCTTGTTTTGACAATGTAAATAATTACTATAATATTTTAAATAATTGTATGTTGCCTTTTCAGTTATAGTATTAAGCCTCCCTAACTCTTACAGGAAATACAATTATTCGACTAATGACATACCTCGTTCCTGCTCAGGAGAGAGATTGTGGGGGACCTTGGGCCCCCGTCAGTCTCAGCTCTGCTCTGAGCCTCCCTATAGTGGTCAGGAGCCACAGGAGGCCAGGGTCCCTGTCAGACCTGGCTGCAAACAGCAGCTGACCTGTGGGTCATGGGTGGGGAAGGGTCCAGCGAGGCTGTGCCCTGCACCCCACCTTCTCATCTTGCTGGGGTTAGCATGGACCTGCAGGCAGGGCCCCTGCAGCTGGAAAGTAGGCCTTGTCCTTCCTCACAGCCAGGCCTCCTCTAGGCTGGACCACTTCCCATGCCTGTCCTGCAGAGTCTTTGGTTATTGAAGCAAGATTCGTTGCTTTGGAGGGGTAACAGGTTTTCCTGAGAGAAGAGAAAGAAAAGGGAGGGATGGAGAGAGGAAAGAAAGGAAAGAGAGGGAAGGAAGGAAGAAAAGAGAGGGAAAAAAAAGAGAAAGGAAGAAAGGAAGAAAGCAAGAAAGAAGGAAAGAAAGAAAAAGAGAAAGAAAGAAGAAAGAAAAAGAGAAAAAGAAAGAAAAAGAAAAAGACTTTCCTACATCCCCAAACCCTTTGGCTGGCAGATTTCTGGCCTTGCTTCTGTCCCTTCTGCAGCCTGGTGAGGGAAGCCACAGGCTGATGTGATGAAAAATGCCCTGGAGCCCGCAGTGCTCACCACCCCTCCTCCATGCTGGCCTTGGCCATGAAGCTGGGTGGCTCTTGCTCCTGGCTCAAAGCCCAGGGGCAGCTGTGCAGAGGGCAGTGTGTCCACCCTGCCAGTCCTGCACCCCCCCAAGTCCCCAGCATGCTCCGCATCCCCTGCAGGCTCAGCAGGCCAGACATCCTGGCCTCCCAGGCTGCCTTGGCGGCTCTCTCTGGATTTTCCCGGGTCTGCAAGGAGCCTGGCCCTGTGTGTGACTTTAGGAAGGAAGATGAACCCGCTCCATCCCCATGCTCCAGCTCTTGCTCTGTCCCCAAGTGAGACCAAGGGCACCCTGACCCCAGACAGTGGCTGCACCCCAGCTGCTGACAGCAGGTCCCCGGGAGGAGACTCGGCCGCAGCATGTATGTTGATATGCCTTTCCACACTGGTTTTATTTATTCCTCAGTGTGTCTCCTACGTGGGGCCTCATGAATGAATTCTGTTTTCTTCATTACTGGGGATCGAACCCAGGGTTCATGCATGCTAAGCCCATGCTCTACCACCAAGCAACTAACAACCCAAGCCCTTTTATTTCGTATTTTGAGACAGGGCCTCACTAAGTTGTCCAGGCTGGGCTCTATCTTGTGATCCTCCTGCCTCAGGCTTCCGAGTAGCTTAGCTGGGAATACAGACATGTCCTACCATGTCCAGCTTATGGGATAAATGTATGACTGAGGTGAGGTCCAGGAAGTCATGTGTCCTTAGACTGGTTTTATGTATTTTCCTTCCACTGGAGAATGACTTTTCAGCATAGCCCTTTTTGCCGGGAACTGAGCAGCCAGGCCAAGTCCTGAGCCCAGTCAGAAGCCTCCTCAGGTCCAGACATCTGGGCATTGTGCCTGGTGCCCACCCTCCAGGACCATGTGGATAATGCAGATGGCAGCAGACGTGACCACAAGGCCCCCAAACCGAGATGCTCAAAGCACCCAGGATACGGGTGGGGCGAGGCAGCAGGCATACCTGAAAGCCGGCGGGTACATCCGCAGGGTCTCTGCGATCACCATGTCCAGGTAGGGCAGGCCTTCCTGCAGGCTGCAGTAGTCAGGGGCCACCTAGGGCAGGGTTTGGGACAGAAGATGGAGGTCCTGTTAGCCAGAGTCTCATAGCACTTTCTCAGGAACTTTGGCATCTCCGTCCAACTTTAGCAAACATTTGCTTGGAAACCACAAGAAGACAGATACCACCCAGATTTTGTTGGATCAGCACCCCACGTGTTCTGAAGCGCTTCATGCTATTGAAGATGAGTAGGCACAGCCCTGGACTGGGGGTCTCTGAGTGTCACCGAGGGAAGCTTGTTTCTAAGACCACAGTGCTGGCCATGTTGGTGAGAGCTGAGGATGGGGCTAAGTACTGCACATCCAGTACCTCGCTTCATCCTTTCATGGCTTACATGAGGAAACTGAGGCTCAGCCAGGCCATCACATGGGTAGCAATCCATACCTCATAAAGTTAAAAGTCCAGCTGGGCATGGTGGCACACGCTTGTAATCCCAGCACTCTATAGGCAGAGGCAGGAGGATTGCCATGAATGAGTTCAAGGCCAGCCTGAACTACATAGTGAGATCCTGTCTCAAAAAAAAAAGACAAGCAGTGAAATAGCAAAGAAAACAAGAGAATCTGCAACATCTAAAAAGAATGAGTAGTAAAAGACCAAAGAGCTCTTTTAAATCAGTAAGGAAGCCAGGAATGGTGCTGCCCGCCTGTAATCCCAGCATTTGGGAGGCTGAGGCAGGAGGATTGCTGTTCAAGGCCAGCCTGGGCTACAAAGACAACTTATTAGGCGAATTTTTTTTCTCTGGTACCAGGGATGGAACTCAGGTCCTTTCACTTGCAAGGCAGGTGGCGGCACCACTGAGCTAAATCCCCAGCCTGACAGCTTCTTAGAGAAGCTGTCAAAGGGCATGAACAGGCAAAACACAGGAGAAGTACAAGTTGTCAAGACGAAAAATGCAAAGCAAAATGAGATTCCTTTCTTCACACAGATTGGGGAAGTTTGGCAAACACTGGTTAGATTTTAGGGGTGCAGATGATGCAGACCAGACTTGAAGTGAATTGTAACCAGGAGGTGGGTGTCTTGGGCAGGGTTACCGGAAGCTGACTCTTCACTGGCAGCTTCTACAAGGAAGCTCCTTCCCCAGCTGTTCTGCTTCCTGCAGAGGTGGCAAGAGTCATCTTCCAGTTAGGTGATAGCCATGCTCTTTTCAATTAAGTAACATCAATTGAGCACAAATCCTGTCTGGGGGATGGCATTCTTTTGTCCCCTTTGCTCCCCAGGGGACCCCCTGCATCTGAAGGGGAGCCACTCCCAACCCCAGAGGCACCATATGCTCATTGGGCTGGGGATCTAAGACGGTGGTCTCCAAGTGAGCTCCCTAGGGCAGTGGCAATACTGTCAGCTGGGAGGCTGAGGGAGGATGCAAGTTTGAGCCCAACCTGGACAATTTAGCAAGTTAGACCTTCTTTCAAAATAAAAATCAAAAGGGCCATGTGAAGGCCTAGGGTCCAATTCCCAATATTGGGAAAAGGAATAGGAAAGAAAGGAAAGGAAAGGAAAAGAAAGGAAAGGAAAGGAAAGGAAGAAAAGGAAAAGAAGAAAAGAAAAGGAATGCTGAAGAGGGCCGGAAGAGGACAGTGACAGTGGAATTTGTTTATTTATTTACTTGGGTTTTGGGGGGGATACCAGAGATCAAACTTAGGATCTTGGGCTTTCAAGGCAAGTGGCAGAACCACTGAACTAAATCCCCAGCCCTGCTTACTTGTGTTTTGAAACAAGATCTTGGTAAGATGCTAAGCTGCCCAGGCTGGACTTGAACTCACAATCCTCCTGCCTCAGCCTTCCACAGTGCTGTGATTACTGACATTTGTTGCCACGCCCAGCCAACACATGGTCTTGATGTCCAGGGTAAGTGTTTTCCTAACCTACAGTGGCACAGCCATTCAGTGGGATGCAGCCATTAATGGTTCTGTGGGTGAAGTTGCAGAGATATGTGTGATTTAACCCACATCTGCGCATGTTCACGGATTTAGAAGGCAAAGGGAGCATTTGCACTGTGCAATAAAAATAGCAATGATTGCTTGGTTTTCCCTACACCTTCCCATCTCCACTTCGGGAACTATTCTTCCTAAGGTTCTCAGCTGGCCCCACACTGCCGCCTCCATCTCAGGCTGTCAGGCCACTCAGGCACACACAGCAGGGAGCAGGGCCCTGTGCTTGAGAGTCCTAATAGTGTCCTCTTTGTGTCTCTGAGGAGAGCAGGAAATGGCACTGGGCGTGGATGGCCCCTTCCTGTCCTGCCCTGTGACCATCATGCCCTCCCCGCCACCAGGGGCCTGGACACAGGCACAGAGGTCGGACGGGGCCGAAGACTGCAGCCTCTTGGAGGGGGCACGGCTGCTGTCCCGCCCCAGGCTGGCAGAGCAGGGTGTATGTGGCAAGATCAAGCTGCTCCCCACACCTGAGTGAGTGAGTGTGGCAGCACAGAGAGGTGAAGGTCCCTGGAGGTCGCACCTGCTGTGGCGGAAGGAGGCTGTGGGAAGAGCAGGCACCTAGGTCAACTTTTTGGAGCAAAGGGACCCACATCTGCACTTGGGCCTCACAAGTGACACAGTCAGCCGCATGCACCAAGGTCGGGTGGCCAAGGCACCGGTCTGGGGATTCATATTGGGAGAAAGCAAAGGAGCTTTTCTCCAGTGCATTAACACGAGCTGTGTGTGACCGCCTTCTGCCTTGAGGAGTAATGTGCGGGAAACATCAGTTGGCTTGAGAAAGAGAAGACAAATGAGACGTGAGAAAGACAGACTTCCTGGTGTCTCCTCGAGCTCTGGCTCCTGTTGGCCATGTGTACCTGGCACGGGTACCTTCCAGTGAGTTCTCACTTGGGGCCACTGTTAGTGATATTCTGAATTCTCCAACCACACAAGTCTTTTTCAAAAAAATCTTAATAAGTGCAAGAATGTGAAAGTAGCTGCAAAGTAGCTGGGTGTGGTAGTGCACCCCTGTAACCCCAGCACTCTGGGAGGCTGAGGCAGGAAGATTGTACATTCAAGCCCAGCCTATGCAATTTAGCAATTTAGTGAAACCCTGTCTCAAAAATTTAAAAAGGGCTCAGCACAAAGGCCTTGGGCCCAACTCCAGCTCCTAAAAAAGAGAATATGAAAGAAAAGAGAACAGAAGAAAAAGAAGGACAGATGATGGAAGGAGGAGGCAGCTGCATACATGACAATAGAGAACAGAGAACTTCTCAGAAAGAAAAGAAATTGAATCTGGGAGCCTAATGGGTAAATGACATTGGTTTGCCAACTCACATGGTATGGTTGGTTGTAAGCTGCCAGGATTGGTCAAAGAAAGAAAACTAGTTAAGGTGGGCTAAGGGAATTCTGTGTTACAAAATCAGTCTGCCTTCATTCCTTCCCCATGTTTGGCTCGGCTTCTCTGGACAGGGCCGCTTCCCATCCACACGGACGCCTGGGCCCTGCTCCCCAGGGACGTGATGCTTGGCCTGAGGGACATGGGGCACTGGGCCTCTTTTGAAGCCTGGGTCCCCCAAGCGCCGTCTCACCCAGGCGAGACACAGGGGTCTCTGTGGGCTCTGCAGGGCCTCGGCCGCAGGGCTCCTGAGCGAGGCGCCAGCAGGGGGCAGCAAACGCATGGCAAATGTGGGCTCCTCAGGCCCGCGGACCTTGGAAACCCTGGTGTCCGCGTTCTTCTTGCTGAAGGTGAGAAAGCACGAGACAGGGAGGAAACTTGCAGGCCAGAGTCCCCCCTAAAGAACGTCCTCTAAGTTATTTTCTCACCAGGGAGCCAAGCACGACATCACTGGGCCTGCTGTGTAAAGTGCGAGGGAACCCGCGGGAGTGGAGCGGCTCCTGGGCCGGTCTTGCCTTTCCGGGACTTGAGCAGGTCGTGAGCACTGCCCCAAGGCACTGTGCCAGGGAGGGGACGGGCGCCCCACCTAGCAGGCTGCTAATGAGATGTGGGCGATAGGGAGGACAGAGCAGGGAACCTCATCCGGACATTCGGGAGCTGCAAGCCCGAGGAGAGACCCATGGCCACGCTGGGAGCCAGTGGTGAAAAGCGGGTGGATGCTGGTTCGAGCAAACCAGTGTAAAACAAGTATCCCGTTGGTAGGGATCTTTGAACCCGACGCCATAGTTGATGCTTTTAAGGATTTAGGACCCGTTTTGGTTTTAGGGGCATGGTAGCATTGTGGCCATGTTTTAGAAGAGTTCTCATTTTTGAGAGCAGTATACTGAAATATTTACAGACAACATGTAATGTCTGGGATTAAAAAAAGAAGAAGAAAAAGGAAGTGGAGAAAGGATGGGAAGTAGTGAAGCTGGGGCAGCCATAGGTGATTCTAATTGCAGTGGATGATAAGTATGCAGCACTCAGGATTCACTGAAGTAGCCTTCTAATTTATGTCTCTGAAGATTTTCCACGGTAAAAGAAAAACTCAATAAAAATATAAATAATGACAATGACTAGAGTAGCTTATGCAGGAACTCAGAGGTGTGTGGAAAGAAGACTGGTTCTGTCAGGCTGGCCCAGTGAGACATGACACTGTGACCTGAGCCCCAGTTTGCCAGGCCCAGGGGACCGGAAGGCATCCTTTGGGGTGGGGGACTTCTTGGGCTGCTGTTTGAGAACACTAGGAGGCCACCCAGAAGGGTGTAGTGCACAGAGGGGGCTGCCAGGAACGGGAACTGAAAAGGTAATCAGTGTGCTACATGGTTTTCTTTGGCAACTAGAACTCTAGCAAAAACTGAGGGAGAGGGGCAGAAATTATTGTGAATGAACAGGGGAAAGGAAGGGAAGCTTAGTGAAGAAAACGCCTGTTCTCACAGGGCATGGTGGTGCATGTCTGTAATCCTAGGACTGTCAGGGAGGCTGAAGCAGGAGGATTGCAAGTTCTAGTTTGGCAACTTAGTGAGACCCTGTCTCAAAAAAATAAACACATAAAGAGCAGAGGATATAGCTTGTGGAGATCAGATGGGAAGAATGAGGCCTAACTGGCCTCCTCGGTGAGCACTGAGGAGGAAGAGGGCATGCAAGTGTGCTAACACACTGCAGGGAAAAGTAAAACACCTAGGTTAAGTTGTTTACCTGGAGAAGTACCATGGAGGGTGGGAGACAGATGAATCCTGTGGAACTAATTGCTCGTGTCCGTGTCTGAGTGACTAAAGCCAAGGCACCCCAGTCATTTGGGGCTCTATGTCAAAGGGACACACGAGCCCCCTGCTCCCCAGCTTTTAACCTGATTCTGTATCTCCAGTATGAGAGAGAGAGAGAGATCGATCCTGATCCTGATCCTGATCCTGATCCTGATCCTGTCTCTGGAAGAAAAGGGACTGGGCTAACTCTGTGTGTTTAAGTAGAAGCAGCGTTTGCAGCCAGCCAGATCCTAGAGCTCCGGGCTGTTTGCTGTCCTGTGTCTACCCCGGCACTGCTCTTGGTCCTGCCAGGGAGGCAGAGGCAGGGTTCAGTCAGGATGGATCAGCCATCATCTGGACCATGGGCCGGGTTGTCAGGACAACTGTTAATAATGGTGGCCGCTCCCCTGAAGGGTAGGGAAAAGGAGACCATGAAGGTATAGCGTCCTGACAGGCAGTGATGGTTCTTTTTGGACACATTCAGCAGCAGGAGCTCCCTTTCTCATGAGATGTTCTGTTCTTTGTCTTAAACCACTCTGCAAAGAGCTGGGTGCGGTGGTGCGTGCCTATAAACCCAGCTTGAAGGGAGGCTGAGGCAGGAGGATCACAAATTCAAGGTCTGCCTGGGCAACTAAGACCCTGTCTCAAAAAATAAAAAGACCTGGGGGTGTAGCTCTGTGCAAAGATCCTGGGTTCAATCTCTAGTGCCAGAAAAAAAATCTAATTCTACAAGGATGTGTTAGGAAGAAAGCAAGTCTAAAGTCCTATCAAATTTATTTCAGTTGGGACTTATTCTATAAAATAATAACTCTGGCAGGCTGGGGATTTAGCTCAGTGGCAATGCACCTGCCTTGCAAGTGCGAGGTCCTGAGTTGGATCCCTGGTACCCAAAAAACAAAAACAACTGTGCTTTTAGAAAGTTGGAAATAAAATATTAGGAAAAGTAAAAATAAAAAAGTGTAATCTTAGCCTTGTGGTTTACATTCTAAACCAGAGTTCCTTAGTTTTCAGAGAGACATTCATTTCTATTTGATCCTCAATGGGCAGGAACTTATACTTTATTTCTGAAGTTCTCAGTCTCCTAGTTTTGTATTATATAGCGTGAGATCTGTAAACCAGTGTTGAAATGCAATAGACAAACCTGATGGTTAGGGAACTCTATGGGAAATCTATTGATAAAGCCTTGTAAGTAGGAAAAATATCACCTTCTCCTATTAATCTTGCTTTTCTATGATTAGAATCTGTGCATCATTTTCACTAAAAGCTAGACGCACGAGTGCACACACAGTACCACACATGGGGCATGTGTGTAGATATGATCTGGAGTACAGATGAGAAAAAGTAAAAATGTCATTGCTTTCATAAACATTTTTCCTAGATAACCAAAGACTTAATAGAAAACTTAACATTTCCCTATTTTGCAAAAGGACTTAGAAATGCGGGTGGCTGCAGTATTGCTCCTCCAAAGCAGTAGCTGCAGCAGCAGCAAGTAGCATTTATAGGGGCTCCCCATCCCTGCCAGCCTTGCAGCAGGGAACTGGAAGTCTCTTCAGCAAGGGGCAGGTGGGGCAGTTCAGCCACATGCAGAAGGAAGATCATGCACTCTCACACTCCAGGGAACCGCAGCCCCTAATATTGAAACTTGGAAAACGCAGTGACCCTGGCTTTGCCCAAACAGGGCAGCAAAGCCCCTGCCCTGGCAGCGCATGACCAAGGCGAGCCCTGAGCTCTCAGGGCGAACCCTGAAGCAGGGTCTGGCCTTCTCACTGGCCCATTCCCCAGCCTGGCACCCCGAGGTCCTCTTGGCTGGGACAGTTTGCTTTTGAGATTCCTTAGCTGTGTTGTGTGAGATCCATGTGGTCCGGGGAGCTATTGCAGGCTTGGCGTGAGGAGCCAATTGAGGGCAGGGGGAGGAATCTTCTATCAACATCTCTGGCTTCCCTCGTAATGCTCAGAAAGTCCTACATGCTAGTTTAAAAATTGGGCAGATTTAGACTTAGAAAAACTTCTGTACTTTAGAAAAACAAGAGTGTACAAAGCATCTATTTATATCTACTTTAAAAGAAAAGAGAACCCACACACAAACAGGGATTATCCCAGGTGCTCCTGGCCATGGAGGGATTAGGCAGGCTATGTAAGGAAGCTCATAAAGCAACCGCCTCCACGCACATGCGAACTCCCAAGGACGTGGGTTGCGCTCCATGGATTGTGCTGGCCCTCTGCGTGGTTCCTGTGTTCAGGCTTCTGTAATCGCAATAGGACTTCACCTTGTGCATCTACTGTACCATTTGGTCCCCCAGCCACACCTCGAAGGAGGTAGGGTAACTTTTGGGGTCTCTTTTATAAGTGAAAATAAGTCTCAGATGTTCAGAGGTCAAATAGCTTGTCCATGGTCTGCAGAGTCCAAGCCTTTTCCGTGATTCCTGCTCCCCAGGCCTCCCTTCCTTCTCTCCAGCCTCTTTCTTTCTTCTTTTCTTTCCGCTTGTCTATGTTATGGAGCAGTAGCAGGTGTCCAGAAACTTACAGCACAAACAAGTGTGGGGCTCAGGAGTTTGCACAAAGAAAGCACCTGCCGTGTGCCAGTAGCCGGACAAAGACACAGAGCTCCGAGGCATCCCTGGGTCTTTTCCTATCACAGCCCGACTTGAAACAGAGATGACTTTGGCCTTCTCCCTTGTGCTTTGCATCAGTGGACTCCCTGTCCTTGTCTGCCTTCCTTCGGTCCACACTGTGTGAGAACCATCCGTGCTGTGCAGAGTTGTGGTTGTTGCAGTGTGTTCAGCTGTGGTGCGCATGTGTGACTGCTACTAGCATGGAGCGATGCAGTCATCTTTTCAAATGGCAACAGTTGCTTCTAGTTTGGGGCCTTTTCTAGGAAAGCTGATAGGAGCATTCTCTCCCTCCCTCCCGCCCTTCCTTCCTTCCTTCCCTTCTTTTCCTACTTGTTCTCTTTTCCTCCCTCCCTCCCTTCTCTGCAGTACTGGGGATTGAACCCAAGGCCCTTGCACTTAGCCACATCCCCAGCCCATTTTTATTTTTGTGACAGGGTCTTGGGAAATTACCCATGCTGGACTCCAAATTGTAATCCTCCTGCCTCAGTCTCCCGGAGTGCTGGGATTATAGGCACGTGGCATCGTGCCCTAGTTTCTCTTACTCTTTTTTTTTCTTTTTTTGCAACAGGTGTTATGATTTAAATGGGTAATGTGTCCCCCATAAGGCTCATGGGCTCAGAAGTGGAGCTTTCAGAAGGCGATTGGATCATGGGGCGCTGTACTCATCAGTGGATTCACCCACTGATGAGTTCAGTAGCTGAGTGGCTGTTAGGAGGGGCCCTGGTGGGAAAAGCTGGGTCCTCCCTTTTCTCTGCTTCCTCGGCACTGTGATATGGGCGGCTTTCCTCTACCCAGGCCCTTCCACCATGCCACTGCTGCCCTAGAGGTGGCCAACTAGACTGAAAACCCTAAAACCCACGAGCCCAAATGAACCTCCCTCTTTTAATTTGTGGGTGTTGGGTATTGTACACTAGTGATGAGAAAATGACTAGGACACAGGGTCTCCATGTGACCCAGGCTGGCTTTGAACTTTCCATCCTCCTGCCTCAGCCTCCCTAGTAGCTAGGATTATAGGCGTGTATCACTGGGTTGGGCTACTGGGAATATTCTCAACTATGGTTTTGGGGACCATAGGCACAGGTTTCTTCTGGGTATGTATCTCGGAGTGGAGTTGCTAGGTCATTAGAGATGTCTATGCTCAGCTTTAGTAGATATTCCAGTTTACAAACTGATTGTCCGTGCTGTCTAGAACTGAGTTGAGTCAATTAGAAAGCAGTGTGTTGACACCTAGTTCTATTTACTCTGCGGGCTCCCTACCCCCTCTAATATTCTGAAATCTAACCATTATCTCTGTTCCAGGAAAAGTTTGAGAGAAAGAAATGGTATTATTTTGAGAGTGGAGTTATTTATTCCTATAGTGTGGGGTAGGAACAAATAAGACACATCTAATAACCTAATTTTAAAAAATTGTCCCAGTTATCAGACGCAAGCTCTTATAAGCAAATATGCATTCAGGCATCAAATAGATTCAAGTCCTTGAATTATCTGCGGCTGTCTGCACTAGCACAGGCCATTCACAGGTGACTGTGTTTGACGCTTAGAGACATGAACCCCTCAGTAAATGACGCTTACATCTCCCACGCAATTTCTCTACACCGGGGCAGGAGTGAACTGCGCTTAATTTGCAGAGAAAATGTTTTTACTCACTGCACAGGCACAGTGCTGAGCAGCGTGTGTGGGGTGGAGGAGAGACAAGATCTGATCCTCGAGCACACAGAACTTATCGTGTGTTTGGGAAATCATCTCAGTGTTCATTCAGAGATTTATTTATATCATGGAGGCCCTGAAGGGTCCCGAGGAGCAGAGGCAATGTGGCAAAGATGGTCGTGTTTTGTGATCTGACGACGATGCGTGGAATGGTTGGAATAGCAAGTTGGGGAATGGGTCAGCAGGCTGCGAAGTTATTGCAGGAGTCCAGGTAAATGTGGTGAGCTCCAGGCAGTGAGCCTCCACGGCGATGCGGGCCCACCTTGAACACTCAGATGTGCTCGGTCTGGACTGAGCTAAGGAATGGGTATTGTTAGCAGAGGTCCCTAAGAGATTCCACATGCAGCCTGGATATTGGAGTGATTGCTGCAAAGGAAGAGGTGGCAGGGGAAGGCACTTGGGATAAGAGGTTCAAGGCATGAAGGGGGAAAAGGCAGTCCCCAGGCTTTACTCCTGGGTGGCTAAAGGAGCGGGAAGGAAGTCATTTCCCCGGGGGACAGTGACTTCTGCCTAGAAGTGGGAAGACCTCAGCCACACAGAGGTGGCCAAGTCCTTGGAGACAGGGCCAAGAAGGACAAGCACCGAGTCCAGGACTGACCCTTCAGTGGTGCCCAGAAAAAGACGGCAGGGCCGTGGGAAAGTAAGGAACCCTGGACAGTGTCTCGGGCATCTCCTGCTTGGGATCAGGGGATGCAGGATGGGGAAAGCCAGTGTGCTGTCAACTGGGGGAGAGGCCAGAGAGAGCATCAGGGGTCAGAGGTGAGCAGGCAGACAGGGTGGCTCTCATCACAGTCGCATGTCTTCAAGGCAGCAGGCAGAGGAAAGGTCTGTGCTGGGCTGGGGTTTTAGCTCAGTGGCACTGCATCTGCCTCACAAGCACAAGGTCCTGAGTTCGATACCCTGTACCAAAAGGAAAAAAGGCTGTGGAACTCCATGTCCCCACTGAGGGTGGGGTCAGGTGATGGTGGAGACCAGGAAAGACCATGACTCAATCCCAGGGAGGATTTCCAAGCAGCTACAACTTAGCCCTGCAAGGCCGAGCCCCTGCCCATCAGGGATTTTCAAAACTGGTGACAAAGCATCTGCAAAGGTCACTGAAGGATGTGAACAGACCCGCATCAGAGGAGATGTGACGCAGGTGACCCTAAGGTGCCTTCTGGCTCTGGATTGGTCTGATGTATCACAGTCACTCCCATCCACCCTGGGGCAGCCTGGTGACCTCAGGGGAGCCTGGTCACTCTACCAGACCGAGCAAATGTCATGGGAAGGTGGGCAGCGGTCAACTCGCTCTGCTAGCCTCTGGCCCGCCCCATGTCCAGCCCTCCTTCCTGCGCATATCTCCTTGATAACACAGCCTAGAGTCACAGTGCAGCTCACTCACTGTTTGGGGAAATGGTAAACAAAGATAAGAGCTTTGAGCACTGGAATTTATTTTTTATCTACTTGCCTAAAAGCCACTGCATGTTAAATTTAGAAGCTGGCTCCAGACCCCTCCCCGCCCTCTGTTTCCTGCCTCCTCTGCCACCCGTTCTAGGACCCAGCCGGGACTCCACTGACTGTGGAATATGAAATGTGTTTGCAAAGCCCTGGAGCCTTTCGTGTCTGCCTGCCTGGATGTTTATAAAAGTGGATCCTCGCAGGGCCCAGGAGGCAGGGGCCATTTCCTCTGGTCCCAGCTCTGTCACTATTGCAGTGGCAGCCAGCGCCGCCCAAATATTTACCCAAATGTCCTAGGCAGGGCCTGGGGTGCTTCTGTCTCACGCTGTCATTGGAGGATAAGCCCACAGGAGGTCACAGCCTTTCCTGGAGACCATCTTAGGTTTATCTCCCTCCTGCATCCCTGGAATCTGTCATCAAATAGCACTTAAATCCCTTTGCAATCAACTCCAAGGACCTGGGGAAATCCTTTTGTTGGCCTGGAATTCTTTTGTTTTGAATATAGCTTGAAGTAAATGAGCCATTGTCTGGGCTCAGGATATTCTGGTTGGAAAGGAATCTCCACTCTGATGCAATTTATTGTAGCAGGATTTTTTTTCCAGCTCAGCTTCGATTCCCTATTGCCGACTCAGTCCTTTCTCACAGCTCAGGAGATCAGTGGGGAGAGTTGGGCTCAAAGTGGAAAAAAGAAATAATAAAAAAGGAAGATCATGTTTGCCCAAGCATGATGTCCAGAGGCCTAAAAGGTGTCTGGTCCCAGACTGCAAAGATTGCCAAGAAGAGAGGTACATTCCTGAGGCCAGCTTAGGAGAAAGAGTTGGACCAGTGCTCCTGCTGGCACTGGTGATCAGTCATGCGACAGTAAAAAGGAAAGAGCAGAGACAGAGGCTCCAGGAGCACAGCCCCGTCAGGCTGTGCATGAGGAGCCACAGCCCAGAGAGGCTAAGTGACTGCCCAAACCACACAGCAAATCAGAGGCAGAAGCAATGCTAGACCAGGCCTCTGGACATGGGACCAGCACTGTGCTTTCTGTTCTGCTGCACTAGAGGGACCAGGAATAAGGAAAAAATATCTAAGGGACACATAGCCAGATAGTGTTTTCAGTGTTCAAATCATGAGAAATTGTGGAGCACGCTTTGCTTTTCGGGTCACTGTGTGAAATTCTAAGAAGACTTCTGGGAGCAGGAGGTGAACTTGAGCCAGGCGGCTTTGCGCTTCTTCCTACTCTGTGTCGTGGGTCAGTCCTTCAGTATGCCCCAGTCATGGGGGCTTTGCTCACAGGCTTGCCAAGTAAAACACAGGATAGCTAGTGAATGTGAATTTTGGATACAGTGTGGGACAGGCCGAGTGTCGGTGTCTCCTCCCTTAGAGCTGGGTGTTGGAGTCTCCCCTCACCCCCGTGGTGATGGTATCAGGGGGCAGGATTACAGGGGACATGAGGGTGGGTCCCAGTCGTGGGCAAGAGACAGTGTGCTTTCTTTCTTGCTCCGTTTGTCTCTTCTCTGGGACAGCACTAGGAAAGGCTAGGTGACACAGTGAGAAGGTGGCCATCAGCCGTGC